GGGAAAGGGTGGGGCAGCACAAGCCTAAGTGTTTAAGAAGAGGACCCAGAGGCTTCAGGAGGGGCTGGGGGAAACGTGACCCACCTCTGATAGTGCTGAGCCACCCAGCAGGAGGGAAAAGCTGACCATAGGACCCTGCTAAGCTGGCCCCACAGGAGAGATAGGAGCAGCAGCCTGGGGCAGAGCTGTTCCAATAACCCAGCAGGTTTCTCAAGAACACCGCCTCCACCCCTTGGTAAATCTCCACAAAGGAGAAGTCCCTTCCTGGATCTGGCAGGTTCACAGTTGAGAGGGTGAATCTACATAGACCCAGAGAACACCCAATCTGCTCCAGGCCAACACCCAAACCAGAACCCCCCCTCAGTCAGGACTCAACATTACAACTGAGCCAGCCTGTAGTTGGTTCTCACTCAAAGAACAAAAGCAATGCACTTAAAAATACCAGAAGGAAAAACATCTTCAGGAAAGATTGGATCCAGCAGCTCAAACGACATTGTTGATTTTCACTCCCATTTCTCCACCATGTTGGTGCCACTTGGTGTTAGGATCTTCCCACAGGGCATAAAAGTCGCCAAAAACTTGAGGGATGGAGTCATTGACTGTCCAGGCCTGGATCAGCCAATCTCCTCCAAAGCATGGCGGGTAGAGGGGAAGGACGGGGTCAACTCCATCAAACCACGTGGACAGAGTGGGGAGGAGGAGGAGTTCACCACAGAGATCCAGGGTAGAATAAGGGTTAATCTTGTGTTAATTTGAAGGGATCCCAGGATACCCAGGTATCTGCTTAAACATCATCTCTCTGAGCCTGGGGGCGTTTCCAGAAGAGATTCGCATTTGCACTGGTGAACTGAGCAGGGCAGATGGCCTGCAGCCATGAGCCTGGCATCATGCACTCCATGGAGGCCTGAGCAGCGCGCGCGCGCGCACACACACACACACACACACACACACACAGGAAGGCGAATTCTCTCGAGCTGCACCACTGCTCTCCTGCCCTTGGTGCTCTCAATTCTCAGGCCTTTCCAATTCAGACTGCATCTGTAACAGCAACCCTCTGGACATCAGGCCTTGTGCTTGTACCACCAGCATCCCCGATCTCCAGCCTGCACGCTATAGACCACGGGCACGTGCAAGCCATTATCATCCATGCCCACATTGGCCAGTACTTACAATAAATCTTTCTAGAGATGCAAACTGCTGGTTCTTTCTCTGCAGAGCCTGTAGTCCCCATATGTAGCTACAATCTGATGGTCATGGGGGCAGCCTTCAAGATGGCCCCTGCCTTGTGTGTATTCCCCTCCCACATTACATCAGGGCTGATCTGTGTAACTAGAAAATACAGTGGAAGTGGTTGGTGTCAGCTCCAAGATCAGGTTATCAAAACATAATGGCTGACATCTTCAGTATGCTCTCGCTCTTGAGCTATGCCCTATGGAAATCGGCTACTGTTGTCCACAGCCCTAACGAGAGGCCCATAGGGCCAGGAGCCAAAGCTGCCTGTTCAGTCACGTGAGTAAACATGAGAATGGCCCCTCCAGTCCCAGCCAAGCCTTCAGATGGCAGCAACTTTGGCCAGCAGCCACCTCTTGAGAGACCCTGACCCCCCAGCCAAGTCATTCCCAGATTCCTCACAAAAAAAGATTACAAATATTTGTTGTTTTAAACAAACAAGTTTGGAGATAGTTATCTCTTGCTGTGTCACAAATTAATACAATAAGCAGAAATAGAAAACGTCCCCACCACAATCCAACCACCATGTTTATTTGCTTGCTGTGATGCTTGTGCCCTCAGTTTAGGTGTTAGAGAAAACTTAATTCCTTGTGCAATGTCGGGAGGTGGTTAGGTCAAGAGGGCTTTACCTTCTCCAGTGGATTAATGTCCTTACCACAAGAATGGGATTGTTTAAAAGAAGCGAGTTCCACTCTCTTCCCTCTCACACGCTCTCCTCTGTGATGCTTCCGCCACACCATGACTCAGCAGAGGGCCTGGCCAATGCAGCGCCTCCCATGCTGGACTTCCAGCCTCAGAACCATGAGCCCAGTAAATTTCTGTCCATTCTAGATCACCCTGTCTGTGGCAGCCTGTCACAGTAGCATAAGAGTCTGACACTTCCCTCTCAGTGTAAACTTTTATCTTCTTTCTTTGAACATCTGCCTCATAGTTTGAGTTTTCTTAATTCAGCAGGAAGCAAGGCAATCAATTATTTAGAAGAATGTGACTGGCACAGTCCTAACTGCATCTGACTGTAATGCCTCCACATCGGGGCCTAGCAGGTGCTCAGGGCCACAAAAGCACTGAGCTAGTTACATGAACTCGTTCTTGGTCGAACTGTGACAGATGAAAGGAAAGCCATTAATTTTTAGCAAAAGAAATCTGTAATCAAATGCAGAAGTTGCTCAGTGATGTTTCAGCCTCACAATATACACTCGAAGCCAGTAACACACACAAATACACGCTTGGTATTAGAATGTTTACACAAAATAAACTCCACAGTTCTGAATCTAAAGTAGCCTGCAACGTTCTTTCTATACCATTGCTGTTAAAATATATCTTTTGATTAGGCAACCTCTCTTAGTAACATAATTTTTATATTAAAGAAAAATGATGATAGTTAACATTTACTGAGCTTGTGGGAAGCATATTTATTGAGATGACAAATGGTCTCTCTCATTTTATTCATGCAATAACTCAATGAAGCAGAGAATTTTCTTATCCCCATTTTATAACTAAGAAAACCAAAAGGGATTAAGTAACTTCCCAAGGTCACACCACTAGGAAGGAACAGAGCCACAGTCTGACCCTCAATGATCACCTGCTTTGTCACACCTGCCCCTGGGGGCACACGTGGGCCTGAGAGCAGGATGAGGCCAGTGCAAACTCACTGCCAGCCTGCCCCACTGGCTACAGCCCTCCCAGCCCAGCACCCACCACCTCAGCAGATCCTGTCTGCCAACAAACAGCTGTTCCTCCTGCGGCCAGAAACCAGAAGAAAGCTCTGACAGCAGGCAGAGAGGAACTCTGTCAGCAATTGACCTTCTCCAAACTTACACATCCAGCTGACCACTTTGCTTTGTTCCATTCTCTCCTTCTGTAATAATCACCTGTTGAACAGATGACCTTCTACCTGCAAACCACAAACTCTCAAATCACTTAAACCCATTGTTCCCTTGAGGAGACTTCATATTATACAACTGCCTAGTCAAGAAATTGTTTTTCTCTACCCTATTTATGGGATAAAATTTTTCCCAGAATTATCAGATTCCAAAATACCCTTTAGACAACGCTCCCAACAACATACACACCCAACACCTTACGCACCCTGTTCCCTCCTCATCCAGTCTGCCTGGGTGGGTAAGATTGCTCTCTCCATCTCATAGATGGGCAAACACATGCTTGCAGAAGTTAAGTAGTTCACCCGGAAACACAATTTGCAAGTAATGGAGCGGGAACTTGAGTGTAAGCCAAGTCTTTACACAAGTCAGTAAATGACAGGGAATATAATCCTTTCTGTCACTGATGATTCAGAACTGGCCTCTGAAGACTGCAGCCTTTCCTATAGACACTGATTGCAAGCATGCCACAGGGTTTTAGCATGGCCAGGTGAAATGAAGGACCAGCTAACAAAATGCTACCAGTCACTATTTATGATTATCGTTTAACTGGCTCTGATGTTCTCAAGACATCATTTTAGAACCTGAAGAAAGGGGAGAAACTAGAAGAGTAGGGCTTGGATAAGAGGTCAAAGTGACAGACATATGTCAACGATACAAATGCTGCTTACATCACCTGGCAGCACCAAGATGGAAGAGCTACCACTACAAATGCACCCAACTCTGAGCCCCGACACAGCTGCGAAATATATTTCCCTCCTGGTCTAATTTAAAAGCAATTTTTGAGGAACCACCAACAAACTGCTTATCTCACCTAAAATGGGGGGGGAAATACTGGAAACTACCCAAATGGTAAATTGACCATATTAAATTAGTCAATTTAATATGGTACATTAACTCATCCAGGTATATAAAAAAGGTTACCAGAAAAACCACTTCTACAGTAGGAAGCCGAGCAAGGAGGCAGGCTGGGAAACGACAGGCAGGAGGTTGTGGGTGCAGCTCAGAAAACACATTCAGTACAAAATGATGTTTTATGGGAGCTGGGTTTTTTTTTTTAATTCACTACAGTTTTAATAAGATAAACATCACAGAAAAAAAAATGGCTCTTAGGTAAAAATAAGCTCCATCATACCCATAACCAGAGAAACAGAAATGAAAGATCTTCTGCCAGCCTCATTTTTCTCCTGTGATATTATCAGAGACTCAAAACCTGGATCCTACCATGCTCTACACAGCTGGGCAGCAGCGCCACCTCTCAGGCTGCTGTGGAAGAAGTGTGGCTCAACAAACACCTGGAGAGGGCAGCAGAGGCTGCCACCCAGCCTAGAAAGGCACCTTGACCTGCAGGTCTACTTCTGGGAATGCTTCCAATAAACACACTCACACAGGGACACCGTGACGGCACAGGGGTATTGGCTGTGGCACTATTTGTAGTCACAACGTTGGAAAATTCTCAATACTCAGCTGCTGGCAGACTGGTTAAACTAACTCTAGTGCAATCAGACAATGACACAGTAACGGGACAAGGAAGATGGGAGCCCCTTGGCACAACAACACAGATCCTCCCTAAGATGTGAAGTGAGGGGCGAGTGGGAAAGACACTGGCCAGCTACATGTGCACACGCTGTCGTGTGGGGACACAGAACCTCTCTGCAACTGGCAACGGTGAGGGCATCCAGAGAGCACCAGCTGGCTGGGACCCGTGAGCAGAGACTCAACGTTTAACCTCCATTATTTTGAACCATGTGCATACACATCACTTATTGAGTGAACGTAGATAAATTTTGTCTCCTTTGGTTGCTTTCTTCTTATTATTAAGGCATACATGTGAAAAGAGCACAGTCCTGTAACAGCCCCCACGCTCACCTCCACCCTTGCCCCCCCTACCTTGCCAAAGCCTGGACCTTCATGGTGTGCCGCTCCTCCTGCTCGGTCACCTTCCTTTTCAAGGTGTCCACCTCCTGCCGGAGCGCAGCCGAATGTTCCATCTCGCCATCAAGCAGGTTCCGCAGGGATCTGGGAAGAGGGGCCCAACTGTTCAGATGCCATCAAACAGGTTCATCAAGCCCAGAAAACTGTTCTTGACCCAAGTCCAGACTCATTCACTGTCCACAGGACTCTGCACAAATTCTAAGTCAAGTCTATTTCATAGAAACTTATTTCAGGAGATAGCTAACACTGCCAATCACCTCAGAGCAAGAATTATGAGGAGCCCAGAGCAGTTATCTGCAGTCAGGCCCCATGTCCCCGTTTTCCTAGGAGCAGACGGCCATCTGACTGTGTGGATCAAGGTAGAGCAAGGACTTGACAAGTCTCAGGGAAGTCCTTTTAAAAACACACCCCCCAAAAGGTGCAGGATATTATTCGGACTCATTTTGTCACAGACGCAGCAAGTAAGAGATGTAGCCAAGGAAAGGATGTCAGGAGAGACCAAAAGAATATCTGGAGCATAAAAACAGAATATACACTCGGATGATACGACAGCTGTCCAGCCTCCCTGCCCACCACCCACATCACACAGGGAGCCTGGCCTTCCTCGGCACCTCCGGCTGAGCAAGCACCGTGCTGCGGCAGGGCTGGCACTTGACATTCCCCTCCAAAACATATTCTCTCGTGTGTCTGTCACTCCCAGTCTCAAAAAGGGAGTAGACCAGGAGCTCGCCTCAAGTTTCCACCCAGAAACAAGCCTCACGTGGTTCTGTAGACCATTTCCTTCACTATGCACAAGTGGCTAGTTCTAGTCGACAGTGACCGACTGTGGTGCACCTGCACAATCCAGGACACTGCCACAAAACAACAGCGTGCAGCCAAAAGCGCCAGGCCCCAAGCCTAGCCCACTGTTCACCGACTCCCTCAAGACCTGTGCTCCTGGGGAACTGGGGAGACTCCCCTCTCGGGCCTGGAAGCCCTGGCACCAACACACTATGATTTTTTTTCCTTCTCTGGGAAGAAAAAAATGACAGACAATGAGTTCTGTTCTTCACAAGGGAAAATAAATCCTGTGGCTCCTTCCCAGCAAACAGCTCCTGCTGGAGCCAGGGCTTTGGGCCCTTTGTGGCCCTTTTAGTTGGAAAATGGTGCTGCCTGTAAGGACTCTTTTTAAAACACACTTTTTTTTTTTTTTTTTTTTTTAAACAGATCACACTCATTTGCTTTCACGTTCCATAAAAGATGGGGAAGAAGCTTGTGAAGTGGTACTGGCCTGCTGCCTCCCCAGGTGGGGCCGCTTCCTGGTTAATGGCAGGCAGGCCCCTACCAGCCACAGCATGGCCAAGACAGGTTCTGGCAGAGGAGAAGCCCAACAGCAGACAAAAGCCAACAGCAGACAAAAGCCAACAGCAGGTGGCGTCTGGCACTGGTTTCAACAGGGAAGGAAAGAATAAAGATGTTTGCTTCTGGGTGTCTTCAAGGAGCTTTTGTTGGACACACCCTCAGATAGTATTAGTGCCTGGACTCTAAAACAGGCCCTTGATCAAAGGCCACTCCAACGGGCCTTTGGGATAAGGGGTGGTCCAGGGGCTTCTTTCTGAAGTGATAACAATGTTCTAAAATTGACTGTGGTAATGATCGTAAGCATCTGTGAAAACACTAAAAACTGCTGGCCTGCACATGCTCAATGGGCAAGCTATAGGGAGTGTGGATTTTATCTCAATAAAGGCTACTTTTTAAAGAGAATCAAAGGCTGTTCTTCCAAATTCTTGTTCTAAGGTGATGCCATTATTCAAGGTTCTCATTCCTTGCTTGCACATAAGCCACACTGGACACTCAGGTGGCACAGCCAGTCAGAAACTAAGATATCACCAGTTGCGCTTGCCAATGAAGCAAAACTGCCTTCATCTGTTAATTCTCTGCCTGAGGAAGATCAGAACAGATTAAAAGCACGGTACCTGTTCTCTTCTTCCAGCTCATCCTTTCTGTTCATCATGGCCACGATGGCTTGTCGTAGTTCATCTAAGGAAAGAAAGCAAAGTCAAAGTCCATCAGTAGATCTTGCCTGTCAGACCATCACCTCACCTCGCTGGATCATCTGCCCTTAGGACAGCTTGTCTGGAAAGTTCCTTGTTCCTTTCAAAAGTAATTCCTGCACAGTCTTAGAGATCCAGTAGGCTCAGCTGTGCATTTCCATCAGCCACACGAAGTATAGGGCAGGGCAGGATAAGAACAAAAAAAGAGCTACTTCCTTGGTGAACACATTTGGCTTGCGATTCCTTAATGTTTCCCAAGTCCCCAATCCTGGACAGCCTCTATTTTGAACAATGATTTATTCCCTATTAAAGCTATTTATCAACCTAGACAGGAGATCGAGTGACCCTGGCTCCATAATGGCACAGAGGTAGTCATTCAGGTTTAGTCAAGGACCAGGCTTTCCCTTCGCTCCCCTCTACGGCTAGTTATGGGCAACACAACTGGGGTCTTCAATACCCAGCCATGTTCGCTCTCAGAAGCTACTTCCCAAACATCCTCCATAGGAAAGCCTGCCTGGGTAGAAACCACACTCTCCCATCTACATCAAACCCAAGTGTTGCCATTGTGCTGATCACTTCCAAGTCACTCAGACCGAAATTTTGATTTTTCCTGGAGAGCTACGGTTGTTTGGTCTATTTCCTTTAATAGACCCTAGGAATTATATCACCCTCCGAAGACTGGCTACTAGAAGCTCATAGCAAAAATTGTGCACCTAGCAGGAGAATGTGTACTTCAAAGCCCACTGAAGCACACAGGCCCAGATGACGAGGCCACAACAGACACTGAGGGATTTAATTCCTAGCACCATACTTCAAGACCATAGATATGTATGACCCTTGGAAAATTTCTTGATCTTGAAATTGTTTTTAAACAGCAAAAAACACACATTTCTGGAAAAGAATAATAAAGATTAGAAAGAAGAGGGGCAAAAGGAAGAGTAAGGTCAATAAGTCCACAGCAGATTTAAGTAGTCTTGAAAAACAAAGGCCACCCCAAGGAGAAAGGCACAGGATAGGAAATGGGTGAAGCCAGAGCACAGCAAGCTGCCCACCTGAGCCGTGCTCTGCGGAAGTTGAGGTGGCCCAGAGTAAACAGGTTCATTCATTCACACACTCAACATCTATTGAGCCCTACTGGGTTCAAGCACCTTCCCAAGGAAGGACTCTCACAAGAGGATTCTTAACCCACAAGAAAGCACATTCACATTTGCCTATGATGAAAGAGTCTGGAAGAATTTTCATTCTGAACTCAACTAGGTTGGGTCCTTGATCAGAGCCTTGAACCAGCACCTCAGCTTTTCAGAGGCCTTCTTTCAGGCACAAAGGGGAGCAGTACCTACCCTCTTGCCTCCCTGGGGTGCTGCAAGGACCAGAGGAGAGATTAGATAGGATGGTGCTATCAGGACCATGCCTCTCTCAGCCTATGGCTATAAGCATTAGCCCTTTAGAACTCATCATAATGCTATATGAGTCAATTATACTAAAATGGAAACGCTGATACATCTGTGGGGAAAAAAGTAATTTATTCTCGTGTTATCATGGGGCAGGGACCCTAGACACAATATGTTTTGGAAGACAAGCAGGATAAACTCTCTCTGGCTCTTATCTCCAGGAAGCCCAGGACAAGTGGCACCTTAGGGAGTAGCTCCTTACTCCAAAGCCCATTTGAATTCTGAGTTTTCTTATAGTTTCTTTCCCCTTACAGTTCTTGGCTGGCCCAAGTCTCATAAGAGAAAAAAAAAAAAGATGCTCATAATTGTATCATGAGGCTGGAATAGGTGACATTTCATTATAAACAAAGAAACCCCCCCTTTTGCTGGGCATCCCAGTCAGCCATGTGTCTGCTGTGGTGGAACGTCCTGTGCAGACCTGGTCAACATGGATGGACTGCCTGTACTGAGCCTAGGGCAGGCAACAGCACAACAGATGGCATGTGGCAGTGCATGCTTCTCTGCTGCCTGAGCTCAGAGAAGGGGTGTACTGGACTGCACTGCCTTCAGGGCCCTGAAGGAGTTGTTCATCACCACCGTGGTCATGTGCTGACATCTGTCACTTCATGCAGCTCCTGAATACCACCCAACCTTTTCCCTATGCTCAGAGAGGGAAGTCTAGTGGACTCCTGAGAGACCCTCCAGAGCAACTGTGGCTCAACCATCTTGGCCTTATCCACAGAGATTCTCACCCAAGATAAAAACCCAGTGCATGTTAGTTCATGCATTTCCTGGCCAGAACCCATCTTCCCTCGCACTTCCAGTCTCAACAAGAAAACCAACCAATTCTCCGGGCCCTGATGAAAAGGCACCTCTTCTGTGAAGGCCTCCCTGACCCCACCACCCTGCAGCACATTGCAAGGTATGCAGTAATTAGTCACCTGTCTGCCGAGGTGTACACGACTCCAAAGCACACAGCATGTCATGCACCTAGGTATCCACAGCTCCTTCACATTGAGGGCTTTGTCGAGGTGCATAGATCTGAGTTCTGTAAACGAGTGGCCCAAGAGATCTTTCCTCCCTAGCCCCTCTACACCTAAAGCTGGTGGCCAAAACAGCAGCTGTCACAGAGTAAATGTTTTCTACGTACCTAGCAGCACTTGAGCCCCAATCAGCTGCATTTCCACTCTCTGGCCACTTCATGCCAGGTCCCCGTAGGAGTCCCAGTGGCCTTCTAAATCCTAAGGCATAAGGTTCAAAAACTTGCCCTGGGCAGGTTCTAGAGCTGGAGAAGACCAACAGCAGGAAGATACAGAGGGCAAGAAGAGGATCAGAAGTTCTAGCAGCTTCTGCCCCAATAGTTCGTGGAAAGTTGCCATCAACGGCTCTGGACCAAGCAGATCTGAGTTCAAACTGCTGCTCAGCCACTCACCTCAGGTAACCATGGACATGTATCTGCCTTGGAAACTACAAAGTGGGCAACGCCACGCTCCTGTGGGATGTCTAAAGCTCCTAACTGGTGGGGAGAGCAGTATATGCAGCATATGCTCGGGGTTCAGAGTTTTTAGCGCAATCTCTGCAGTCGAGCTCGAATTCCAGCTCCAAAACTGGGAAACCTTGGGCAAGTTACTGACCCTCTCTCTGTTAAAAATCTGATTTTATAGATAGATGCTCAGTCTCAAGACAGTGCTATAAGGATTAAATAAAGGCATATGCAAATGAGGTGCCTCGAACAATGTCCAGCATGTAGTAGCTTTGAAGAGGTATTAAGATCACTATGATGAGTATCTTTCTCTCCTAAAACAGGGTACAGAGGTGGGAACAAAGCAGCAGTGCATGCTCAAAAGGACAGGTTGTCTACACTGCATACTTGTTCAGGAGCTGTGGGATTCATCCAGGACCTCAACCTTGGGAAATAAAGAATTATTTGAAGTGCTCTCCATACTGTAGCAGCAGACTAAATCATCATGGGCAACACAGGAACCCATCCCCAGCCACAATTCACTGTGTCACTGGAAGAGACTGAGCAAGCATCTGGGTTCTGGCTCTTTAGGTACCAGATGATGGAGTCCTCAACACTGCCACTCAAGACTTGGCAGCTGAAACCTTTAATACTCCATAGGAAAAGTCTTGGAGAAGAGCTGCTCCCCAGGATGACCCAGAAACCCACAATGATCGCTTTTCAAGGACAGCCTCAAGTTGCCCTAAGAGGTCTCGGCCAGCAGCTCACCTTGTAGCCCAATGTCAGCTCAGAGAAACCACCTGTGAGAAACAACTGGACAACCAACGCTGACCCCATCCACTCCATCACCCTCCCATGATCTTCCCCTGCCCAGACACTGATTCCAGCCTCTTGGAGGGGGCCCTCTATTCCTATCAACATAAGCATGACAGATAACGCGAGCAGGCAAAGCCATGCTCTAATGGTGGAACCTTTTAAAAGATCCATCTCTATGCTGTCCAAGTGCCCCCCCTGCCGGCCTCAAGCTGCCACAGCAGAACACTGAGCCAAGGGTGGACGGGAATGTGGAGTGGAGCAGGCACCCTCAACATGCTTTAACTTAAACATGAATTCCTTTTCGCTGTCACATGGGGAGGGGGGAGGTTGTGACTTTCCTGGGGCAGTAGAGCCACTAGGCACCGTCAGGATGGTTTCTGAGCATCACAAACGTGACACTCCTTTAAGTGCGAGTGACCCCAGGAACAGAGATGCTCCATTATGTCATGTTCTCTCCTCCCCAGCATCACGTTGCCCCTTACTTGCTTAGTCTTTATCACCTGCCGCCGCACCCATTTCAAGCAAGAACAGCAGCTTCTCCCCATGGCCTCTGGAGTGTGGCCAAGTCGGGCTCACCCTCTCCTGAGGCTGGATGGCCAGGGGCCACCCACCTCAAATCCAGCTCCCTGCCTGGCTGCAGTGGATGGAGCTGTCATTCATCAATGATTTCCCAGAAATCAATCTGGGAAAAAAGGCAGCATTTCAAATCACGCTGAAAAGGATGGACTTGTCCACAGACGCTGGCAGGACAAAGGACCATTGTGAAAGCAAAAATCAGGATTTAGATCTTTGCTTCTGCTATGTGCTAAAATAAATTATAGAGACATGATATTTAAATGTGAAATGAAGCAATCGAAACCCTATAAATGTGAACATTCACATTCTTAACAAGAACCAAAGAACAAGGTCACTGAGGCAATGACAGTTTTACTATAAGTTTTTTTTGTTGTTTTTTTGGTAGATGAACAGAATGCCTTCATTTTATTTACTTTTATATGGCGCTAAGGATCAAACCCACACAAGCCTCACACAAGCTAGGCAGGCACTCTGGCACTGAGCTATAGCCCCAGCCCTAGTTTCTTTTATGTCTGCACATCAAGGGCCAATCTAACAAAAGCTAATTGGCCAGGGTTTGTGGGTTTCATCTCTCAGGGCAGTAAACTAGCAGCACAGAAACAACATAGGTTTTTGAGTCAGATCTACTCTCAGACCCCAGGTCCCCCCGCCTCAGCACTGGGCTCTAACAAAGGGAAGGTGGGAGCAGACGCATCTGGCCAA